ATTTTACCTAACCCGCCATGTTAAACTTCCCTATCCCAAGCGTGATGTATACAACTTCCTTACTTCTCGAGTGATGTAAAGTTGAAAAAAAACTCACTCGGTGATGTAATGAAACCCATTTAAATAACATTGAGTGGATAACTTAAAAAATATACCTCTATGGAGCCAACGACGTTCAACGCTAGAAATCAGCTGTGTGTTTGAATTTTATTGTTATGCTTTGAAGAATTTTCCTAACCTAGCTTTTGTTTGTAAATGAACGTTACTGTTAGAAGATGAGTGAAATTGATAATGAAGCATATTGCTCGTAACCTCCTGAATATTGTCGGGTCAGGTAAAATCTTGTACGTTACACGTTACGCAAGAGCGTGTTTACATCACTTCGGTGAATTATGCAACTCGCCTTCGCTCGTTGCACAACATTCACCTGCGTGATGTAAAAACGCTCTTACTACACTTGTAATGTAAATAGCTATAAATGTGTATTTAAGCGTGAGATTTGAAATAAAACAAGAACCAGCACAGATGTAAACTTTTTTAGAGTCGAATAAAATAAATTCTTGAAACATGAATTAAAATAAATTATTTTGCAACATTTTACTAATTTCTGTGTATTTGATTTGTTCATTGGTCGATTATCAATAATTGATATAACGACGCCTAGACGCGTATTTCAACCCAATGTGAAGGATCAGTTTAGAATGAATTTAGATGCCTTGAGTATTTCGTTACTAAGATCAGCTGTTTTATTAGCCAGGACTATTAAAAGTACAATGATCAGGGACAGCTGGGTCCAGTTTTCAACCATCAACAAGCTACACACTTTTCTCACAATTTAGTTACCCAGATATTAATTTAATTACCATGTTAAGTCAATAAAGAACTAGCATTTCTAACGCTGTTGTAACAATATGTTATACGAGTATAACTCCTAAAACAAATCACTGGGGGTATGACAGCGTATGATTATTTTCAGAAACTGTCAATATATTTCCAATATGTCTAGGAGAATGATTGGTGTATATGAAGGGAATAAGGAAATGTTTGCGTTCCCTTTGAGGATAGCTTTTGACTTGTGAATATTTATATTTGACACAACTGTATAGTTTGATACAAAATATACAATTGACGAATTGAAACGAGTTTTAGGATCAATAATTTGTTAAATACTTGTAGTTTGAAAGTAAATAACGGTTTAGTACTAAACAGATTTTAAGGCTTAATTTAATATTTTTTCTTATATTCATGTTGTATTTTATGCATTTAAATTTTTTTACGTTAACTTATTATGAATGAGAAGACCCAACGCAAAATATATAATCTTTCATATGCTATTCATATTGTAAGCTATTTTATTAAGACATAGGTTTATCTAGTGTTTGTAGAAGAAGAGAGTCACTCCATTCGTTGTAATAGGCCTCGACTGCTAGGTCGGCCAAACAATTTGGTTTGTGACATACAGTACAACATTGCTGGGTTTGGGTATACATTGAGTGGCGTTGCTTTACTACTAAGAAAAAATATTCAACTCCTAATAAAATTAAGATATATTACCAATTCAATATTTGAGACATTTCATCATCAAAGTTAATAGATTTCTGTTTACCTATAGCCACACAATTAATTTATCTTTTTGTGTACTAATTATTTGAGGAATGCTTGTTCGGTATAGATCCTGTATTACCAATATTATTTCTCGAAACAAGGAAGTCGAAGAAAAGAAATAAATACAATATCCAGCTGGATTCTCCGTTTCGACTCAATTTCATCCTTGACTAAACACTTAGCCTACTCAATCTTCTTCAAAACCCCGTCTTTCGACGCAGAACAAAGCAACGGTAGCATAGAGTACGAAATGGCAAATATAATTTCCAATTATACATGCTGTGGTAAAATGGAAAACAAACTATAAAAAAGTTTTACCTAAGCGCATATATCAGTGGTATTATATGATTTTTTTTACATATTTTCTGTTGGACTTAAATAAAAATTCCACTGTCTAAAAATCCGTACCTAGGACATGAATCAGTGCACTAGGATAGTGGTACCAGGTATTCTCGTAAAGTTTAAACATTTCATCAATTTGAAAGAATCCAAGAATATTTATATATGTAGAAAATTAAATTTTAAGAGTTTATTTGAAAGCTTAAACTATCTTGTGTTGTAAAAATCACACATTATAACCTGATGCATTTTGTATTGGTTTCGCAATATAAATCATCATTTTTTGGACTATCCTATTATAAATCTCAAATCTAAGTTGGCTAGAAAGACTGTTTTCATTTTGTCTACACAGTATAACATAGGGTTTATGGTCTTCAAAATAGAACAATCCACCACGGCAAGGGGAAGTTTATAACAGCGTAAAGTCATTTTATTGCTGGATACAAAATTAAATTTTGCTCCGACTTCATTAAAACGATTTTGTCATTGTTTAGGAAGGTCTACAAGACATTTAAAATTCAATTCATTGAAGCGAACTTAAAAAGGAGAATGACCGAATCAACCGATGTTTTTCCAAGAAATAAAATAAGAAATTACTAAGTTCATAAAAAATATGTTTTTCGAAAGTATATTCTATAAAATAGAAAACATAGTATTACATAAACCAACCAGTGAAACTACATTATTAATACAATGTGGACTCATGTTTAATGTTGTGTTATTATTAAATTCGAAGCATTCTTGTAACTTCATTCCAAACCATACTAACACTACTGGAGATTCTATCTGATGAATTTATAACCATACTGATGTTTGTCGTCTATTAAAATTGGGTTAACTACTTATTGCATCAAATTGTTACATAAATACTCTCTATTTGCTTGGATATCACAAAAGCACAATTCGGACAGTAACATTCAACATCAAATCAGACTAAAACATTAGCATAGCTCAAAATACTTAATGGATCACATGTTTGAGTTATTTAACGAAATAAAAATAATTTAGATTGATAATAGGATTCGATATTGAAACTAAATGGAGCAAAATTAGAACTGTTTCTAGAAGCAAAGAGTAGCTCCCATCCTTAAAGTAAAAGTCTTTTAAAATACCAAAAATCACAAACAAAAAAAACTATAAAAAAGCATCTTAACTAACACCCCAGAGAAATCGGTGTAAAATTGTAGTTATTCTAATAACATTCTAAATACATGTCAGCATTGGAACTTAATTATGTTTCTTTAACGTTTACTTAAATTTTCATTCAGTAAAATTTTAGTGAGATGCGAAAACAACTACGTAAAAGGTTATTTAAATAATTTCCAAAACATCATAAATTAGGAAATATTTTTTTACGTCTTAATTCCCCAATAATAAAAAAGCTCGTGGAGAGGGTCGTGTTTGATTCCATGTGACGAAAAAAGACTTCTGGGTCACAATTTTTATTATTTAAGTTCGTAACATTGTTATTTTTAATTGGTAATTGTAAACTTTCCCCCCATAATGTCTTATTGAATATCAATGAACCCCATATGATCAAGGAATATGCTTCAACCACAGGCATAATTAACAGTTCTTAGACAAGTTTTACAAACAAATTACTTGTTATTAGGGTTCACACAAGTAATTAACGATATTATCCCTCAAATATTACTCGGAAATGTCTTAAAACCATGAATAACCTTGGAAAACATATTGACTGAAATCAGGAAATCCAGCAAACATATTTGAAACACAAAACACGTTTTTAGCAAGTGTTATGTTGGATCATTGAATGCATGTTGAATTTTGATGCTTCGGTCTTAGTTAAATCAATGTGTAGTATATTACAGAATAGACTGTAGTATGCACTACATAAAATATTCAATGGTACATTATAATGTAAAAAAAAATCATCATAGAGTCTATTGCACTCTATAACAGAGAATATATTTAGTGACATAGTTTAAACTGTTCTCACTCATAAAAAAGAACTAGTTGAAAACATACTGAAACAGAATTAGAAATTTTAGAAGTTTGACACTTTTTAGCATTAAGCTCATAAATAAACATTCATATCCATTATTAATTCTTTTACGTAACTTATATATCACCGCTAACTAAGCACGGCTGGGAGTGTCGATGATCAGGTAAGTTACACAAAGCAAGGAAGGACCAAACTCCTAGTTTAATATTGATGTCAGGCAGCTCTTAACTTCATCAGTAAACATTAACTAACCCGATCCCTTTGTTGGATATCAGGATGGTGTGGATGGTAAGACTACATTCTAAACAGCTTATAAGTCAGCTTGACTAGAGAACTAAAAATGATGAAAGGGGTTTCCTTGTGCTAATAACGTGGTTGCTAGGCAATTCGTTGTAAGCCATGTAAAAACATTTTTGATAGCTTCGCGATCAATAAGTTCGTACCAGCTTTAACAGAATTATTTGAAATATTTCAAATGAACCATTCATCACTAAGTTTATTAAGTATGTGCTTACTTTGTAGATGAATTTAAACCATACAGACAAATACCAATACAACATGTTCAACATATAAGTACAAAATGGAGAAATTAAAGAAAGAAACAGAGATTGAGTAATTTTTCTAACGATCACCACATTTGCATCTTAAGGATAAAATACAGTAGTATATTGTTATCTCAAAATACTAACACGTTAATATATATCTTTTTCTAATAAATGTTACTATAACCATCTAAAACTTAAAGATAAAATGTTTGTATAAGATTCATAAAACCTCTTGAATTTCTAATTACAATAAACAATTAAAATTATCAACTGGTTTTATCAAACTCACAACTCAAACTCACAACTAAACTGTGTCTTCAAACAGTAATATTTTAGTTAAGAGTAAAAATTAATATTTTATTACGTTTTGTAAATTGGCTATTTTAATAATTTATGTACAAATGAAAAGGGGTTTAATTTAAATAAATGTGCACTTTTAATGTCAGAACGAATGTTTTTAATTTGATGACACAAGAATGACTCATCTTTGTACTGTAATTATAGTAAATAAAACCAAACATAAATTAGTGATATGATATCAGTAACACTGTAATGATAACATCAGTGTGTCTGTTGATATGTGTGTTTAGTGTTGAGACCAAACCCGTCTTCTACAACAAACAAACTCCTCTCACTGAGGTATTTTTCGTAACACTTCAGGTGAGCTTCAATTTAAATCGATAACAAATATTTTGCTTACGATATTTGTTTTACAATTTCCCCAAAGTTTAATAGAACTAAGATAACTAATGTTCATCTTCTTTTTACCTCATTACCATGGCAACTATTAGGCGTGTTGACAGAAAATATTCGAAACCGATTTTGTTAATTTTTGATAACGTGTAGAATATAGTATGTAATTTCAAATCTATTCATTACTTAACAAGCATATACTAGACGTAGCACATACTATCAAATAAGACGTGTTAATATATTAGAATTCTGTTGTTGTAAACTGAATTTAGACCCTTTTATTTGTTCGTACGTAGGGGACTCATTTTCGGCCCTAGGTACGAAATAAATATACTATTTTGTACACAAATATTGTTATTTGCCAGGTCCGTGCTCTCATGAAGGATGTAAAGGATCCTGTAAGACTCGCAGGATCTCTGGCGAAGGAAGCGAAAAGAGTATTGACTCACGCCAGGAGCTATCTGCTGGAAATACAGGTGAAATAATAACTAACACCACAAACAAACAGTGGTGTTCCGTAGGTAGGTATGCAGTTTTTAAATAATCTTCTACAAGTTTGGAGAGCCAGTGGCTCAGTAGCACCACAGACTTCGAGCCCAAGGTAGATGTGGGTCTAGATACCTACCTAGATATGTACCTGCTACTACTTCTTTTCAGTAAAGTTCACCCTTGTTCTATACCAATTCATCCTTTGCTTTGCTGGATTTGTTCTACGCACAAGTCCATAGACTTTGAAAGAGCTAATCAAGGTCAAGAGATGCCGTCAATACCTAAAAAAAATTGGAACCCTTAAAATTAAACAATATTTCTATTATTTTTGAGAATTTTTTTGATAATTGCTAAAAGCGCCTTTAAGGCATCCTCAAAATGTAACTGGGGCACTAGAAATAGATAATTTTATTGTTTCTTTTATTCCAGATGCCAGAAAAGGAACTGCGGGACGAATACCGGATGAGTGACCGAGACGTTTCAGAATACCAGGAGTTGTGGGCGGAGAGTATACAGGAACTGAACAAACTGGAATACTTCTTTAAAATCAGAGATCAAGTTAATAACAACACCCGTAATCGGTGATAGCAGTAGCCTATTAACTGTTACTGAAACCCTGAAAGCTTTAAACGATAAGGGATCAATGAATATTAAGACCTGAATCAGCGATAAACCTAACAGAATAAACTGAACAAGCTGAACAGGTAGAGAGGATTAGGGATAAAAAATAAGATAAAAAATTAATTTAGTCCGTGATAAGCCACGTGAGATTAACTGAAGACATAGCTTTAGTCAGGTATCAAGCCAATGATAGCGCATATGATACCGATTACCTTAGTAAATCTAGGATAACAGTTAAATCTGAACGGATTTGGATGGTTTGAGGATTGATTGGGTTGGCGTGAACAAACTCCTCCGTAATCGGTAATAAACCTTGGTTATTACTTAAATAGCTAAACTAACTGTATTATTTAAGCAGGGGAGGTAATTTTTCAGTAGTTAATATTCGTGTTGTTGATAACTTTACCAACACGTGTAAAAGTAGCTTTACTATCAAGTTAGCAAATTTAAACATAAAACTAATTTTAATCTGTATTTGATTAGGATATGTAACATGACACTAATTTGAAACGTGATCTTGAAAATAGTGTAGTTAATTTGTGTTGTAATCTGAAATAAATATAAAATCATATGCAATACGATTGAAAGTTTTTACTGTATCCAATTCATACATTTTTACACCACAGATTATTTATAAACCACTGGCCGTGAAAGTTCATTTTATTACGCTAAAACAAATGATACGTAAAAACTTATGAAGTAAATAAAATTATAGCGTAAACCAGTTCTTGTAAATTGATGAAAAAGGGGCGCGCAATGCTACAATGTGCAGCTTTAGCCTCGGTGATTCAGTGACAACAAAAGGTTCGCTTTAGAAACCTTTGTCAAGGTGTAGCGGGAACAGATCTGTGCAATCGAGCCATTGCTTTCTGCCATACTAACTGATCACATGACTTGTCTCAGTAGAATTGTGAGGGGAATTTATAAATTATTCATTTTATAACGTATGTTGACATTTTTTATAAAGCTGTGGGGGTTTATAACTATATGAGTTTACCGATTGAAAAATCCTTAAATCTTACATTCCTGAAACTACGATCTTAGCAGTATTTTTTAAAGAAGTTTCGCTCAGAAAAATCAACAGAAAGGTTTTTAAATATCATGTGTCACCTTACATTTGTGTTAAAAAAATATATATAAAATTTGTATCAAGATTAAAACCACACAAATCAAAAAATACTATTAAAATCTCCCTGAAATATTTTTTATTTTGTAACAACCGAATTACTTTAATGCGTAAGAGTTGCATTAAAAAGGACTGGGATTAATCTTTCACTAAACGATTTTCAAAAGTTAAAACAAACCATTGATAAACCAGAGATAGGATTGCAGTTTTGTTGTTTATATAGTCATGTCAGGGGAGCGAGCTGGTCCAGTGGTTAGAGTGCAGGACTTCGGTCCAAGAGGTCCCAGGTTCAAAACCCGCCAAATCACCAATAGATTTTATCAAGTGATAATCCCGCAACCCCTAGGTCTAGCCTGAAGTAATGTGAAAAAAATCCCAAGCTCGTGCCTAGCGTTCTAGGACTAAAAATAAATATATATAGTCATGTCAATGGTACATTGTACATTGTACATATCCATGATGTTACGAACATTTTGCATGGCTTCTACATAGCTTCTCTAATATCCCTGTTGAACATCAATGTTTCAATGTTTACTCTATAGATTACATCTCCCACTGGGTATTGTAGAGACTCTGGGTTGTGTGTACTGAGTTGCATAATGTACTACACTGGGTAGATTAGCAGATCAGGCTACTGGAAGATAACATTTTATTACTTTTCGGTCTTCTGGTATAGTTTCATCTAACAAGAAATCAACACAAGGACAGGTCTCTCCGATAAGAAGACATTTAGAAAACGTTCTCCACCAAGGTTATGCAATTATACCCCCGCCACAGCAAACCTGCAGACTACGCGAATTTCCATTTACCTGGCTGAATTTCTACAAAAATATTCCCTAAAAATGGTCAGATTTTTTCCTATTTAAATAACGTTAATTTTAATGAGTACCTAGGTTTGCTGCTACAGGGAAGGTGTTGAGCTGTGTTATATTGTTGAAATGTTGATAGCTTAGTATAAAATAAACAAAATTGCCGAGTTTGATTAAAATATATCCATAAACAAGCAAACTACAACTGCTTATTAATTCTCCATAAGAATAACAAGGGAATTTTAAATCTAAAGTTTTTTTATACCTCCGTAACCATTAGGCCTACAACAACACTTCAATATACACAATTACTTATTTTTTAAGCTCTACAAAAATGTTCTGGAAAGAAATTGTGAAATTTGATGTTTTTTTAGTAAAAAATTGGGAAAACAATTTGTACCCCATAAACGTATGTTCCCATTGTCCGATTATGTTGGTTCACGAACTCGTTCGAATGAATGAGTTGACATGTTTATACCAAATTTCATCTAAATCGGATCATTTTTGCTCGAGTTATCGCAGACATAACAGACATATATATATACTATATGAACGGAGGGTGTTTTTGGCCTCTGGGGACCTCAAAAAGAAAAAGTAAATCGGTCCCGGATCCAGGTCTTAATTACTAACAATACTACAAGATTGCGCCACTCATCCTACACTCATCTCCATTCATACTTGGCTTAAAATACCTACTTTGTATGGTCGCCATTTCATTGAAAAGTATTATTAAAGTGTTAAATAAAAGTATTATCAAAAGTATTATCAAAAGTTCTTACCACGAGTACTACGGTAAAAGCATATTCCCTATATGGGCTAAAATCAAGAAAAACTGCAAATATTTTATCGTATAAAAGTGCAGTAATAATCATCAACTATATGAGCTCAAAAAAATGATAAAATTGAAACCATAACTTTATAGTACTCTTTAAAGAACCTTTGGTAGAGATGGATAATTTTATGAACGCAGCAAAATCCAAATTAAGTTGAAGAGAAGTAGTTAATGGGCCATGATAATTTCCTCTTTACCGATATCACTTCGAGGGTCTTCCTTGTTCCATTAGGTGACATTATACGGAACTGTTTCTGAAATCTTGGAGAACAGTGGATTCGTTATAATTGGCTCAAAAAGTTACTAATCGTTTTAGCAAATATTACAAGACATAAAAATATTATGTAAAAATCTGCTAAGCTATTGATGGTTCAGATGTGTAATTTAGCTCATCATAATGTTATCATTGGGAATTACTAAGAAAGAACTATTAGTAATTACTCACCTTAGTAATAAATACTAGAGAGAAATTAAAATTATCTGTATTTTTTAAGCATTTCAGTTCTATGTATAGGTTTAAGATTGTAATATGGGTATAATTCCAGGTTTTAACCAACACACTTATTACAAAATTTATGTTACACTAGCATGTTTACAATAGTTGAATTAATAGTAGTAAATTAATTTTGAATTTCTTATTATTTTGGTAATTCGATCAGTAAATCAAGTGGTAATTGATCTCGTAATTCTGCCATTCTGCGCAAAGCCAGATTAAATTATTAACGAAAATTGATCACTACAGGATAAGCCAAATCCTATAGTTAATCAGTATCCAGGCCATCACAGTCGGCCATAAATACATAACTAAAAACTTTTTATTCTGGTGGCAAAACATGGATCGTAGCATTATAGAGCTGTTAGGTTAGGAGGTTGGTTATCTCCTGCTTGGACAGTAACTTAATTTAAGTATTACTTTTAAAATTGACCCATAACATTTAAGATAAACTTTGATATACTAGTTAGAATGGTAACGCAAAAATTATGGACGGTTTGAACAATTTATTCATCAAACAAAATAATGTGCTACGTTACCTTCAGAACTTTTGCTCCTTTTACCAAATTAAGTTTTGCAGGACCATTTAGAGTCTAATGAAATCGACTCCAGTATTACTGGGGCGTTTGCCGCCTCCTTCTGTTATGCCCGGGGCTAAATTTCGAAAAAAGAAAGAAGTATTTACTAAATAATATTTTTCATTAAATGAGAAACTTTACCTAAAGTGTGTATTTAATTCGTAATCCTTTGTATACGAACATTACAAAAATATTATGTAATGTTCAGCCTTCTCTATTTCTCCCCCTCGCTGTAAAGAAAACATGTGATTAGAATTTCTTTAATTTGTTTTGATTTTCAGTTTGTTTCCTTGTTATTTCGTCACTAGCATGGCAACCCATAAGGCCATTGTCAATTTTTTAAATTTAAAATTAATTAATTTTGTGCGCTTATTTTTGAACCTATTTTAATGAGTTAAGGTCTGCATATCTACAGGCAAATATCTTTCAAACAGTTCCTTGCGATGCACATGAGCTGAGAAAAAAGGTTTAAAAGAAACGTTCTTGCCTATTTATATATAGATAGTAAACAAAGCTTTATTTTAGTTAATGATTAGTTAATATTTATTTAAATTTTGTTTCTTACACTTGGCAATGTAGACTGACACAGAAGGTCATGTGTTAAGAATCCAATCCTATCTGAAATCCCCGACTCCAAACAAAGAGCAGAATTCTTCATCATAACCACTTTATTGCCCCGGCAAAATGATGTTTTCATTTTTTATGTCTCCGCCTGGATAGCTATTTCATTGTTTTTCTTACTAAAAGAGGATTTTCTTACGTACTGTCTTTATGGTTAAATGAGTGTCTTTAGTCAACAATCCAAAATTTAATTGTATTACCCTTCCAAAACTTGAGTTTAAATAATTTAAGTTTATTTTTGTTTTTATTTTGTTCGTAAACGTTAAATGTTTTCCAACTCTAACCATAAAAAAAGTCAACATATAATATTTCGAAAACCAACTGAATAAAAAAGTGCAATGTTATTATATATAGGCAAAGTCTTACAACTCTAGTTGTTTTGGTGATAATTTATTAAAAATAAATAAATAAAAATATTCGACAGGGTTAGAGACATAAAATTAGCATAAAGTTTAATGTAAAATATTGCTGAAAACAGTCTGTGAAAAAAGCTTTTTAAGCTTCTTAGCATTTTTAACACTATTACTTGTTAAACAAAAAACTAATTAGGTAAGCTAACTACGAGTAATTAGTTTCTATGAAAATGCTGAAAAAAAACATATTGTATTACTTCCACTGTATGTT